TTTTTTTATTTATTTTTTTTTTTTTGCAGGGGACTTTTCCATCCTATGGACGACATTGGTCTCTTCGTTCAAACGCTGATGAATGACGTGAGTTTAAAACATTTTATAATTAGCTTTTCTTCGGGTAGGCAAAAATGAAAAAGGAAATTGCAATGCAACTGTTGTAAAGCATAGTTCACATCAAAGCATGTTCATGCATGCTCTGCACTCTTAGTTCCTAGAAGATTTCAAGTGTGCGAATTTAGTCAATATACTGCAAAGCTAGAGCAATTTTTTCATATCACTTGCAAATTTACTCCGAGGACAAAAGTTCAAAATGGTTTGTCAGTCAATAAAGCATTGGTTTGGATGAAGTTTCAAAGATGCGCAGTACGTATGTCACCAGTCTCCCTTCTTTTCTTTGATCACCCGATCAAAGACATCACTTCCCTCTTTACCTGTTTTGCGGAACTGATGAACTTACATTTACCAATTGAAATATTTATAGGCCAGCCTGTTACCCGCAGTATGTGATGTTAGACAAGGTTTCATATCAAGTTTTTTAAGAGTCCTCGATCGAAAAGCTCTGGCTCTTATTAAATATGTAGAAGCTAAATCGTAAGTAATGATTTGACTTGGTTACTAATGACAGTCCACTTTAAAAATTCCTTTTGTCTCTTCATGTATATTTTTCTCCTGTGGAAGAAAAATCAGATTTTTTTGGCGGCTGCTGTATTTCAAGGCTCCGCAAATTTTTTTTAGATTTTGCAAGCCTGTTTTTATGAGAAACACATAATATTGCTTACAGTAACTGAATCAATACATTGGTAAATGATAAATCAAGATGAGTTGCTTTCATAACATTCACAATAGAGTGCTCACACTAAATCCGTGAAACAAATACTAATTTTTAGCACTAAATAGTGATAATTAAACAATAGAAAACAAAGGATTCTGTATGAAATAGTACTAATTAGTGCTATTTAATGTTCACGGTTTTAGTGCGTGCACTCTAAGAATACTTTTCGTTTTTTTTTTATAACTTGGCCTGAGCCTTAAACTTCAGCAGCTGCTGACGGCGTAAACAAATCGTACATGCCTGCCCATTTGATCACGTCTTAACATTTGAATTTGCGCAAAATGAATATTATTATCGATCTATTATTGTATTTTTACTATATTAATTGATATATATTGTTATCAATTTAAATAAAGACATATTATTATTATCATTAATATTATTATTATTATCATTATCAACATCATTATTATCATTATTATTATTATTGTTATTGTTATTATTATTATGACGGAACGCGGAGAAAATCATGAATTTTAAGCTCGCCAAGAAATTTGCCATTTTGTGTGTGTTTGATTGTTTGTTTGTTGTTTGTTTGTTGTTGTTGTTTTTTTCTGTAACTGCGTTTTTAATAATCAGTTGGGGAGAATATCACCTGCAGCACTGAGACTGCGCATTCAATAGCACTCCTCTACAGCATCTTCTTGAAATTCATTTGGCCTCCTATAAAAATAAACCCACTACGCCCTCTGAAGTTTCAACTCTTTTTAGTCCTGTTGTTCGCTAAGGCCCATTGTCTTTAAGCATTACAAAAACCATTCTCATCTAAAGTATGCTATCAAATGAACCTACTGTCTATCGAAGTTTTCGAAGATTTTATTTAAAAAAAGGAATTTTTGTTCTAAGTGAGAACAAAAGCTTAGTTCAGCTATCAACTAACTGGTTCAAATTGCTGGCCCAAATGTACACAACTAAACCCCAAGGTATCAGGTACGAAGCCGGGTTAAAGGAAGCAGGGAGGTGTTGATATTTGGTATATTATTTAACAAATAAAACAGCTTTTTCCCTGCTCCGTTCAGTAATAAAGCAGGAAATAGCGTAAGCACGAAAGTAGTGTAAGGAAAACGGCGAGTGCTTCTCACATTTCTTTATTTTCTCACTCAAACTTGAAGCACTGGTGGCGTGCACTGCTAATGCGCCGCCTCTCACCAATGCGACCCGGGTTCGAGCTCTGCCGGTCTCGGTGTCGTATGTCGTTTTCCTCCCTCCGTAAAAATCAACATGTGAGCTGAGCGTCGTGTGCATAGAATATTGAATGTAGTGGTAGTGCGTGTGGGCGAAAAGTGTCCCCTATTAGTGCGAATTCGCCAGAACGACTAGACACTTAGATAAAAGTGATTTTTTAAATGTGAGTAGAGTTGTTTGTTGGTTCTCTCCTGTGCTTCGAGGGTTTTTCCTCCGGGTTCTCCGGTTTTTCCTCCCTCCACAAAAATCAATTGGGTCGCAAGGCCTGTTAGGCATTAAGCCGTCCACCCAGGAGTGGTAAACGGTGCTGAAATGCACGCATGCGCAAACGTCGCCGTTTTGGTGGACGTCAATCAAGGGTTTTTTCATGGCGTTCCTAGTCACGTGCCCTGTGCTGTAATATAGTTTAAGCATGAATTTGATACCTTCGCCTATTATTTTTTTATCACCTTATTTTCTAAATTGATATAGTCTTTGCTATAATAATCCTTTTATTATTGTTATTAGATCCAAAGGAAGCGTATCCCTTGAACATACAACCAAGCGGCAGTTGAGACACGATCTACAGTTGACAACAGAAGCAGACTTTTTCATCGTGCTGGTTCGGGCAGAGAAACACAAACCGGGACTGTACAGCTTTCTTATGGGAGACCCAACAYATTCTGTTGCACGAGTACGGGATATTTTAGAATCTTTATGAATCTAGTAGAACACTGATCAATACTGCTTTTACCAAAATATTCTCGTTATCAATGAAAAACCATTGCTAAACATTTTGGATGACTGTGACTTTTTTGATAAATAGAAAATTCAAAAAGAGAAGAACCGAATCGGCATTAGTCATTATGTGGTCATGATTCTCCATAAATAGATATAGTCATACTTTTTTCTGCCGAGTTTAGAGAAATTCTATCGATTACATAATTTTTATACTTAGTTTTTCGACCTATTTTGTCACGCAACTACTTTAATTCGTTAAAGTGCACCTACACCCTATTGTTTTACATTCTTAACTGTTTGTACTGAACATTTTAAAATGTTTTGTGGTATTTTGGTCACAAAAAAATGTGTGAATGAATTGAATGCGAAAAATTGTTTAAAAAATACAAAATGTTATGTGTGTCCAGTACCGCAGAATCAAAGCGGGAGTCTGGGTCCAAGTGTGACGTCACCGCAGGCCATGACTTGTTGGTCAGTGCCTGAAAGTTAGTAAACAAATCGAGTACTTTTGAAAGACAGAAGAGCTTGTTGAAGACAAATTCGTGAAGATGAACTCTGATATAGAATCTGTGGTAATCTGTGGTTGTTGGCCTGTGGTGACGTCACACGTTGCTCGTCCCAGTCTCCTCTCTAATTAGGATTTGTGCAAGAATTATCGGGAGGGGGGTTCTAAAACTAATGGGGGGTGGGGGGCAAAAGTTAAATGGGAGTGTAGGGTAGGGGGGTTAGAAACTAATTGCTTAAATATGGAGAGGGGGGTCATAAGTCAATTTGGGATTTTGTTCACTATAAAATTGAAAAGATGCAAATAAATTTACTATTTAAAATAAACATTCATTCGAAGCGCTCAAAAGTAGGCAGTCACCTTTAAAGCACAAAAATTACGTTTAGTCATCAGATCGTCCATTTCAGATCTCCGACTGACAGCGTATTTTGAAACAGAGGTGGGTGTGTCATATATTCATATTTTTACCAATTTGAAGACTCGTAGGTGGAAAGATAGATTCATGGAAAAAAGCACTCTCCAGCAGGTATTTAAAAAACTAAAACCAGACTTTCTCTTTTGGAGGAATTTATTCATAAAGAAAGGTCAGAAAGTACTCAACAAGTCAACAAAATGCACAGATAGAAAAGGCACAGGGTAGTATCCACGAGTTCACCAAAGGCAATTTGATTTGGTATTGTGGCGAAACAGTAGAAAGAATTAGATTGGATTTAACGCTTCATAATACGAGTTTCCGTATACTAGAAGAGGGGGAGTTTTTCTAAGTCGGATGACAGTGCGTTCGACGGGGAGTTAGCAGTTGTCCGTACGTTTTAATGGTTTGTAAAAACCTCTTCATATCTTGTAACAACATATTCAAGCATCTAGTCAACATTCGAAATTGTCTTCCTTTAGTAAAGCTAAACTAATTTCATTATTTTAGAAATCTTAGATAAGAAGACAAGGAGGTCTCAAACCAGACAATGGCTTCGTTCAGTTGGCGTCCTTGGTAGAGTTAGACATAACTGTACGAAGACTTGAGCGATAGATAAAGTTTCCCCTTAATGGTCTTTTGTTCGGGCTGTATCTTTTTTAATATTGTAGCTATCAGTTGTATCGTTTGCTCATTAGTCAACCCGGTTTTCTTAGGGTTGAACTTTTGTAGTAAATCCTTGGTTGTCATTGGCTTGCGTGCGAGGTATCTGCGAACTGAATCTTCGGTTATTGAGTTGCCGTTGTCAGCGGGTGTCGGTGTATTACAGGCTGATCCAGACAGCGAACTCGGCCCAGGCGAAACGCGAGCTTTCTTGGACGAGGGGCTATCACTAATGGAAACAAATCCTGTTTTGGCAGGCTCTGATGCAGGTCGCTTCTTACCTTTACCAGCTTGAATTGAAAAACAAACTGACCGTTAACAAATATCAAAGTAATTTAACAAAGGCAAAATTCAATTATCAATTGTATGTTACATATTTAGGGCAAAATTGATTGAAATTATAGCGGAAATTCCAGAGCTAAAAAAGCCTATAAGCACAGTGGACAAGATGAATTAAGGTTAAAGGCAAAGGTTAAAAATGAACATCACAGCCTTGTATCGGTGGAGATCTTGTTATTGGTCACATCGTTTAATACCCTGTCGAGCATGGATGAAATGCCGAGGGATCACGAAACTCTTCCCACTGTCTATCATAACGAGCCGAATTTAAGGTCAACTGGACAAAAATCAACCGACGCTTGTTTTTCGTTTTTCGTTGTTTTTCGAGCTAGGAACGAAACATTGTTCGCTGATTCGCTACTAGGGCTGAGAGAAGCGAAATCCCCTGTAAACGTAGTAGGAATGTAGGTATGGTGGTGGTAGTGGGGTGATAAAGAAGTGTACTTACTAGGGGTTGCAGGTCTGCCTTCCAGTTTCTTAGCTGCAGCAGCAACAGTAGACACGGCGGGCTGGTTTTCTAATCCTGCAGTTGGTGTTGACGATCTACTGCTGGACGAGGTACTTGATCTGCTTCCATTCTTCTTTTTGCCTTTCTTTTTTTCTGTGCATTGAATAACAAAAAAATTAAAGAGTATATTTAATAAGAATATTATAATTCATAACTAAAGCAAGCAATCTTTTTATTAATTGCCCTATTTCACTATGACGTCACATCAAAACAATCTATTGTTTAAACGCAAAGGATCATTGTCGTCGGAGGGGGTCAAATCAACGCAAATTCACCGAAAATTGTTCTAAAACCCGTATCAATCCACGAAGGGAAGTAGAATAGCCAGCAAACGCTAAGAATATTTTTTTGGAACATGTTAACACATATTATATCTGAAAACCAGGCCATTTTAGATTAAACTGTTTCGCTAGGAGCAAATTTTGTTGATTTTATAATTGATTTGGCGATTCTATCCCTCACATAAACAAGCAGTGACGTCATAGTGAAATAGGGCAATTAAACGTGGGATGAGGTTGCTCTTTGCATCAAGCCAGAGACTCATATTTAAAACGTAACAAAATTAGAATATAGAATAATATAGAAATAATACAGTTACCTAAAGTATTCTAATGCACTGTGATATGTTCACTACGTGCATGGTCACCTCCCAGTTACCTAAAGTATTCTAATGCACTGTGATATGT